ATGTAAAAGTATTTAATTATTTAGATGAAATTCCTTCTTTTATTTTGCATGTTGTGAAATTCATGTAATGAGGTTTTTTTGTTGAATTTCACTACCTACTCATATTTCGGGACCACTGCTGGAACCCTTTTCAAAAAGTAAAACAAAGAGGTGAAGTTCAATAAATACCCCGATCACATTTAATTATTATTCGTACATTTGGTTTTTGTTTTGACATCCCAGACATAATCGTATTTAATCAAATTATGCAGATGCAAATAGAATTAAAATACTTTTTTTTTACATTTCTCTTTTTAAATTACTTTAAAAGATGTTCTTACTAACAGTTTATTTTCAACCAATTTAGTTGTTAGTAACAATAGTAGAAAAGAACAAACTATGAGTAAGAACTGTCTTTTAAAGTAGTTGAGCAACTTACCCATTTTTTTTTCTTAATTGTTTGATGGCTATCTATCATCTTGGTCTGCTTGCTCTCACAGATTTTTGTTGGTTCAAACGCGTTTTGGCATTTCGCCATCCTCAATGTTAGGGTGATTTCTGTGGAGTGAAGTTTGAGTCATGAGGTCATGGGTGGGATTGGAGAGCTTTGTAGGAATTAGCGTGTTTGAAGGATTATGTTATGGTATGGTAAAAAAGGATACTAGGAAGTGGGGTTTCTGCTACCTATTGGTTTATTGTACCTTCCCAGTTCCCTAGTCCGGTGCAATAGACTCATTCCTTCTCCTTAGAAGTATCAAGTCATTGACTGTTGCTGCTACAATTTCATCCCTCAGATTTTTTTTCGTATGTTAGGTTAAACCTCCATTGAGCTGTTGCTTTGCATTCGAAGGTGATATGGTTGGCTGTTTCCTCCTCCTCATTACATAATCTGCAGATGGGATTATATATGCCCAGTTGTGTAGATGTTTTCTCAGATGCCAGGAACTGGTTAGTAGTCCAATCACTCCTCTGAATTTAGCCCTTTCCAATTGCAGCAATGCTTTTGCCAGTCTTGGTGAGGGTTGTTTCATCATAAGTTTACTATGTCTAGCACCGCTAGAGTTTATCCACTTCTACTTTTGTTTTGTTTGGATCCATTGTGCGATGGAGGATTCATTCACTGACTAATTTTGATGTGATTCTTTTACATGCTAATGCTTTAATGGCTGCTTGGCTATCTGATCTTATGAGGATTTTTTTGTCAGTGTAACCTCTTTTAAGATTTTCCATGGCACAAGCATTGATGGCATGTATTTCTGCTTGAAAGACCGAAGTGTACTTCCATAATGAGTTTAATTGCTCATGTTTTGGGCTTGTACAGAAAACGCCTGATCCGGTTCCTTCGTTTGTTTTAGAGCCATCTGTTTACCATATCATTGTATCTGATGCTCTCCTGTGTTCTTCCTCTCCTTTGTAGTCCGTTTAGACTTTATAGGAAGTTATGAAGATTGTTTCTGGGATCATGTAATCAGTCCCCATTTTTAATAATGGGTGTCTTATTTTGTTGATTATGGTTGTATGCCCGAATTGTTTAGTTCCTTTCCAATTTAATTGTTTCTGGAGCCTAAGTGAGCTTTTCCTAGCCTCTCCTTGTATGAATATTTCCAATGGAGGTAGGTTTAGCAGAGTTTCTAATGTATTTGTAGGGGTTCTCATTGCCCCTGTGATACATAGGTTTGCTAGTCTTTGTATGCTGCCTAATATTTAGCTACTTTTTGTTGAGCTTTGTTCCACCCGATTAGTGATCCATAGGTTGTTTGAAGGATTAAGTCCGGAGGTCTTTTATCATCCTGCAGACTACAAGTGTAAATCTCACAATTCCTCTTTTTAGTTTTAGTCGTGTACTAAAGTACCTTCTTTTTTTCTGTTTCCATCAAATTGATCTTTAATCCTCCTCTTTACTCAATATTGTATAGGAAGTATATTTTTATGAGATGAGGGCATTTAGTTGTGGTTTACATTTTTAGAAATAATTTTATTTAGTTAATGGACTAACAGCTTAATATATTAATATTTTGAAAAGGCAAGATGGGAGCAGATAGCCTGAACTAGAATAAAAAAAAAATAGAATCATAAAATATTTATTTGTTCTTTTTTTTTTTTTTTTTTTTTTTTTTTTTTTTTTTTTTTTTTTTTAATTTATTTCTTCTTTTATACCGCACACTTGCTAAAACTAGAATGAAGGGAACGAGAATTGCTAGAAGTGCCTTCCTTCTACATTTGATAAAATTGTTATCAATAGAAAAATGAAAGTTGATTTTGTTAATTTTATATTTTGCCATTGGGTTCATACGTTAGATGATAGCTAGGCAGAGTATTCGTTGGGTTTTTAATTTTTGTGTACTTCTGAAAAATAATCATATTGCGAATAAATGTAATTGTATTTACTTTACACAATTAAAGTGTAATTGTGTAAAGCTTAACATTTCTTTTCTTCATGCTGCAAAGGAAGATTTTGAAGTTAAAAAATTGCGTAGAAAATTTAGTTTTACATATATGTTGTTAGGATACTCAAAGTGAAAACACTTATACAGTTATAGAAAAGCAAAATTATTGCGTTTAAAGTTGATCTCAACTTGTGTAAACGTCTTCAGATAAAACTGTTTAGATAAAAGATCCAAGTTTCTTTTACTGGAGATTATATCATTCAAACTGGAAACAATAGTTTTTGCTTTAAAACTTGATTAATTCAAAAATTATTCCAAAAAGAGGCAAGGCCCGGATCCAGGTTGTTCATCAGGGGGGAGGTAAAAACTTTCGATTTTTTTTTTTTTTTCACAGGGGACCTCAAAATTGAGAGGTAATATACAAATTGAGAGAAAACTCTACACATTGTTTTTCATCCGAACGCAATACTTTCTCCTTCTTCAAATGGAAAAACTGAAAAAAAATGACCTAATTTAAATGTTTGAATAGTTTAATTTCAAAAAGGCACCAGAAGGACATGTTTAATCACGAAAAAATCACGGCCTGCAATGTAATTTTTTTAGCACAAAACATAAACGAACAAAAAAAACCCCTCATGGCAGTAAGGAGTGTGAGGTAGATTTCTTTCTTTAGCATAATCAATCCAGCAGTGCTAAAAATTTTCTACTTTAAAAATTATAGAATAATTTGAAAACAATATGTATATGTTATTATTTATTTTATACAAAACATAACATCATAAACATATTGTAATAGGATAATAAATTAACCAATTTTTTTATTTCTTATTAATTGCTGGCGTTAAATTAACTTAGATTTGGGCCATTTTTTCCTAGACCACTGAAAATATTGAAAATAAAATAATGGTTTACTTATTTAACTACCTAAATTGAAATTTTATTTAAGCAATTTCATTAATTATTTTTCTGTGTTACTTCACTATTATGTTTTGGCAACAAAGTGTGATTTAGATTAGAAATCTTGGCACAGTTGGTAACAAAACTTAAGAAATGCCTACAATTTCATTTTATTATAAAAAAGAAATTAATTTGAGTTTTTAAACAAAAGAAATTAAGTTTGAAAGTACCATATTTGAAAAATGATTGATTAAAAATGGGATTTTTCAAATTATGATAACATTTCAAATTATCAACTGCTTGGATTTGAGCCAAACTGAGTTTAAAAGTTACAGGAAGAATCTAGCTTAAAATCCGTACCAAAAATGTGAAAATCCAAGGAGTGTTAGGTAGATTGTTTCTTTAGCGGAATCAATCCAGTAATGCTAAAAATTTGCTACGTTAAAAATTATAGAATAATTTGAAAACAATGGGTATATATTATTATTTATTTTATACACGATGTAACATCATAAACATTTTGTAATAGGATAAAAAATTAATCAATTGTTTTTGTGCCTAATTAACTGCTGGCATTAAATTAAATTAGATTCGGGCCATTTTTTCCTAGGCCACTGAAAATAATGAAAATGAAATAATGGTTTACTAGTTAACTACCTAAATTAAAATTTTATTTAAGCTATTTAATTATTTTCCTTCACTATTACATTTTGGTAACAAAGTGAGATTTACGGAAAAAGATGATGGCTACACCATATTTTTTTAATAATATACACAATTTTAAGGACGTCTGCTTTTTACCGTGATTTCTCGGTTAATTTCAAAGAAATCTTGGCACATTTGGTAACAAAACTTAAGAAATGCCTACAGTTTCATTTTATTATAAAAAAGAAATTAATTTGTGCTTTTAAACGAAAGAAATTAGGTTTGAAAGTACCGTATTTGATTAAAAAAATCCTGATTAAAAAAGGGATTTTTCAAACTATGATAATTTTTAAAACACCGCTTGGATTTGAGCCAAACTGAGCTTAAAAAGTTACGGGAAGGATCCAGCTTAAAAACAGTACCAAAAATTCTAAAATCCAATAATGAGGGGTGTGCTAAGTGGGAGTGAAGTTAAACAAACAGAGCTGTTGTGCAGGAGAAATCGCAAAAACGGTAAAAATTTTGATTGAATTTTTTACTTTAATCACCTATAACTCTGTGACTCTCAGTCAATTTGGCTGAAAAACAGTCCCAACCGCCCTTGTAGGATTCTTTACCACCCTGCCAAATTTCATTGGTATGCAATCAAAAATGCAACTGCCAAAGAGCGCTAGATTTTTGAAAGAAAAAAAATTACACAAACTTACAGGTTTCTTGATATCAAATCGAGTGTTGGAAGTATCGAACTGGGGAAAAAACAAAACCAAAGCGTGACCGGTGAAGGAAACTGATTTAATTTAGGGAAGGTTTATCAGAGGTAACAGATCAAGGTTTATATAATCCTGAAATATAACCATCTTCGCTTAATTAATGCTAAATTAAGATATATTACATATAACATCTTCACTTGTCTCCATGGGGGGGGAATTAACCCCCTTGGATCCACCACTGTAAATAGGTTGTACATACATGATATATACAAATGACTTTTTAAAAGTTTACTTTATTTAAAATGTTAACCCCTATTTTCCAAGTATGAAGTAAGTTTCTTGTTTCTTCTTCTTATGTCTTTAATGAGGTTTATATTTCCAGAAAATGCCATTGCCCAAGAGGACAGTTGAGCCAATCCATGTGGCTCGCGGCACTATACCGGAAGGGGTGCACATCACTTCCGATTTGGAAGCTGTAACCAACGGGACGTTGGCGAACGTTGTAAGGCAGCTATCATCCTTGAGCAAACACGCTGAAGATCTTTTCGCCGAGTTGACCCGCGATTCCAAAGGCATTGCTTCAAGGGCCAACTCGTTGCAGGCAAGACTAGATAGGCTATCGGTCAAAGTTTCACAGTTGGACAGCTCTACCGAAGAACGTAACAGTGGGTATTCCAAATAAACGACTCCAACTGATAAGTACATTATTCCTTTTTAGTAGGTGATTTTGGTTTTCCAATTTGTCTTTTCTCATTGTCTATGATTTGAAACTGCTTAAGGATTTTACAGTTTTAAATTTTGAGTCTATTAATTGAATTTTTGATTAATTTTCGTTTTAATTGAATTTTTGTCATTGGTTGTATCTTATCTTTTAACCAAATTCAATTTTTTTTTTGCTACTAATTATATATAGTAATTTAAAAATCAAAAAATTCTTATTCATCAAAGAATTGATTTTCCATGCTAGTGGTCTTGGGTTCGAATCCTGGCACAGCCCATGGTTTTTTAATTGAGAGAGTACCCGTCCACGACAATCAACATGTAGTTGGACGTTAAGTCCTCCTTTATGACAAGAATTACATCTGTCAAGCAAATTCAGAATATACAGATTAGTATTTGTTGGTGGTCCGCTTGGACAAATAATATATTACAATTAATTAAGGTTTTTAGTTGAGATAAAAAAAGTCAATGGCACAAGCGAGATTCAAACCCATGATCTTCGGCTAGATACGCCGCTGCTCTAACACTTGAGCTGTCGTGACTTCGACCCACTCGGACACTAACTTCCCATCTCAACCACACCTTTGAATTTTCCCTCCTTTTTGCCATTTTTCAAATGTCGTGTAATCGGATTGGATTCTCGACGACAAATGAAATGGCCACGGAGAGCGTTAGTGAATTGTACTTCATTTTAACTTATTAAATTCACTACTTTCGTGGTCCGCTTGACCAATTAATATATTACAATTAATTAAGGTTTTTAGTTGAGATAAAAAAGTCAATGGCACAAGCGGGATTCGAACCCATGATCTTCGGCTAGATTGCCGCTGCTCTACCATGCTCCCGCTCGTGCCATTGACTTTTTTTATCTCAACTAAAAACCTTAATTAATTGTAATATATTAATTGGTCAAGCGGACCACAAAATTAATGAATTTAATTAAAATGAAGTATACTTCACTAAAGATCTCCGTGGTCTTTTCATTTGTCCCCGAGAATCAAATAGATTACACGACATGAAAAACGGCAAAAAGGAGGGAAAATTCAAAAGGTGGGGTTGAGATAGGAAGTTAGTGTCCGAGTGGATCAAGGTCACGATAGCTCAAGTGGTAGAGCAGCGGTGTATCTAGCCGAAGATCGTGAGTTCGAATCCCGCTCGTGCCATTGACTGTTTTATCTCAACTAAAAACCTTAATTAATTGTAATATACTAATTGGTCAAGCAGACGATGAAATTAATGAATTTAATAATACTTTTTCTTAACATTTACAAATTATTTTACCTAACTTAGTGAATATTTGTTTGGTCTAACTAATGAGATAAAAAATTGTTGTTACATATCTGATACATTAAATTGACTATGTTTTATCTATATTTCTTTATGAATTTTTTGTATCAGAAATAAAATGCGAAGCTATAATTTATTTAAAATTAAATTTTTGTTTTCAGTGTCACTTCAAGATATTCATTTGCGGAAAGCCTTCAAGAACTCTGTGGTTTTCGACCAACAAGTTGTCTCTCGAGATACAATGCCTACAGCTATGCTTGAGACTTACAAGCTTTGTGATAAACCTCCACCTCTCGATAAACTTAATCCTTATAGGTCAGCCTCTCTTCTCTACCTGTAAATTATTAAAAATAAACATTTTCTAAAGATAACGCTTTTCAGGGATGACGGGAAAGATGGTTTGAAGTTTTATACCGATCCTGGGTATTTCTTTGATCTGTGGAGTCAAGAAATGATAGAAGACACAGAACGGAAGATGATCGACAAAGGAAAAAAGGTACAAGCTGGAAAATACCTTCTCAAAATTAGTATCAAACTAAAAAAAAAAAATTTCTAGCCTAAACCAAGAAAAGAAGAAGGCGGTCGTCACAAGAAACGGGTTAGGCAACCGCATAACACAAGAGAGAGACAGCGGCAGATAGTAGTCGGCCAAGGGGAATATATAATGCCTCAAAATAATCATTACAGAGCACCACATCAAATTCACGTGAGTACCTTCGGTAGCAATTGTGTATTTTAAAAAATATACAAGAACGGGTTTTTACAGATGTACCAGGATCAACCTGACACCCGGCTTGATGACGATTTACGGCCGTTGAGACCTAGCAGTATCGAATTAAAAAGAAACTACCCTGCTGAAACGATTTACAGCCCTTCATCTCAGCATATTTATGGCTACCAGTAAGCGCCTTCAATTTTTTTCTCCCCCCATCATTACAAAGAAATATATAAAAATGTAACATCACATTTCTTGGAGAGATGCTTAATGCTTTTAATATAAATAAATTGTACATTCCATTTATAAAATAAAATAAAAAAATCTGTATATACAAAGATTTTGGTAAATGAAACTTGTTGGTATGGAGAAAAATAAGGGTCTATTTCATTTCAAAATTAATATGCTTTTTGTTAATGCAAGAAAAAATTACTGAAACTTGTTTTTCTGTGCAAAAAGAGGTTTTTAAGCCCCTACACTATTAATAGCTATCAGTATATCAGTCAAATGGTTTGAAATAGAAAAATCTCATTTTAGAAATCACTATAGTGTCGGACCTGCAGGAACATACGATGAAGTTAGTCATTACCATCATTCAAATCTGATCCAACAAATGAGTGGAAATTCAATTCATCAGCACAACATGTCCAATCACAACAATTCCAACAGCAGTATACCCGTTGAAGCGTATACGAGCCCTAATAGATCGAGGCCGAGGCCTTCCCAACCTCCGCCAGCGCCTCCTACAACCAACACTTCGGCCACAAGGTAATTTACCAGGAAAATTTAATAAAAGATAATTTTTAATAAGTTTAATTTGTAATAGCACACCAACTGTTAGCTCAGCGGTTAACACGCCGACAAGAGGAAGGAGCACATCTTCGGCGAGGGAGACTTTACCGCCCCCGCCACCTCCTCCAGTGGATTTACCGATGTCTCATGGCATGCAGATGAATGACTCGCTCCCACCACCACCGCCCTCGCCTCCTCCTTCATTAGAAGCGCCAATACTGCCTCCACCTTGTGCTGTTGAGCCTCCGCCTCCACCACCTCCTCCACCGCCACCACCGCCTCTCGTCCCCACAATCAACGGTGGAATTAAATCAAATAATGTAAGCTTTTCATTTACTCAAATTGCTCAAATGTTACCTACAGAAAATAGCCTATCTATATTTTCACACCTTACATTAAGTTAATTGACAATTTTCATGGTTTTATTACAAATCAAACACTTAAAAATACCTTCAACCGAGTGACAAAATTATAGACACACCCCTAATTGTTATGATTTTTTAATGCAATGGATTTGTACTACAAATATTTATTCAAAACACATGAAATAAATATTTTTCTTCATTAAACTTTAATTTTTCAGTAAATAAGAGGAAAAAAATATTAAAATACTAAAATTTAAACGATTTTGTCTGCAACAAAATTATAGACACATGGGATAAAATCCATTTAAAATAAGGTTATAATATTTTGAGGCATTACCACTCAGTTTTATTATTTCTAGTAATCTTTCTGGAATGGTTTTGTACAAATTTTGAATAAAATCTTGAGGCAAATTATTCCAGGCAGTGGTGACAGCTGTTTTAAGTTCATCAACAGAGTTGTACTGGTTACAGTCTTGATGTACCATCCTCGATAATTTTTCCCATACATTTTCTATAATGTTCAAGTCTGGTGAGAGTGCAGGCCATTCAAGTTTTTCAATGCTGTTCTGTGAAAACCATTCTTTAACAATTTTTGCATTGTGTAGGGTGCGTTGTCCTTCTGGAATATTGCAGCCCCTTCGCATAAATCACTGAAACTATTTTTTTCTTTGTCCAGTAATTTCTTGTAATATTCCAAATTGACTTTTTTTTAAAGATTCCCTTTTTTATTACACCCAATACACCCCCAAATAATCAAAGATCCACCACCCATTTGGCGCCGTGACAAATTTTTTTCTTCTTTAGTTAGATCATGAAAGTAGTGTGCGTATCCATCCGGGCTGTCCAAATTGAATTTTTTTTTGCCAGAAAAAATAACTTTTCGCCAATAATCTTCATTTTTCAAAGTGTGGTTTTCAGCAAATTTGACACGGGCTAGTTTTTGTGGTGGGGTTTCAGAGCTGGTTTGCGTTTCAGTTTTCATCGGACTATGTTTTCAGTTTTTTTAAGGAATCTCTGAACAGTTCGAACAGAAACATCAATACCTGCCTTCTCTGCGATGGCTTTTGCAGTCGAAAAGCTGTTTGAAGCAATGCGCAGGATGTGCGATTTGTCTCTTCTGGTCAAGGAAGGAGGTCTTTCAGAGCTATGCCCTCTTCCGTAGTCTTCACCTAGTCATATTATCTTTGATACCGTTCGTTTTATGCGTTGGGCGATATCTCAGCAGCTCATTCCATCTTCATTGAGCAAGTGAATCAACCACCAGCGCTCCTCATCAGAAAATCTTCTTCCTTTGGGCATTTTAAAATAACTTTGAATTGCTCCAAATGAACTCACAGTAATCGCTTTACTAAGGCACGGTACAGTGAATACTGAATAAACCTTTGGAGTTATAAAATAAAAATAAACAAAATGTGTGTATAATTCTGTCGCAGCTAAATCAAAACAATACTGTTTATTGAGATGTACATTTGTTTGTTAGGATTATCAGATCAAGCCATTTCCAGAGTTAATTTTCTTTTAATATCACAAACAATTCACTAATTTCGTGGTCCCCTTGACCAATTATACATTACAATTAATTAAGGTTTTTAGTTGAGATGAAAAAAAAAGTTAATGGCACGAGCGGGATTCAAACCCACAATCTTCGGCTAGATACGCCGCTGCTCTACCACTTAAGCTATCGTGACCTCGATCCACTCGGCCATCAACTTCCTATCCCAAGTTGATCCAATCAAATGTCGTGTAATCGGATTGGATTCTAAAATCGGATTGGATTGAAAAATGGCAAAAAGGAGGGAAAACTCATAAGGTGGGGTTGAGATAGGAAGTTGATGGCCGAGTGGATCGAGGTCACGATAGCTCAAGTGGTAGAGCAGCGGCGTATCTAGCCGAAGATCGTGGGTTCGAATCCCGCTCGTGCCATTAACTTTTTTTTTCATCTCAACTAAAAACCTTAATTAATCATGAAGACTATTCTAATGGCAAAAGAAATCATTTTTGACTGTTGAAATCGTGATTTTTTTAATGTGTCTATAATTTTGTCACTCGGTTGTATATCGAGTAATAGTTTTAAACTTAATAGTTAAACCAACAGACATTTTTAATTTTCTTTTTTTTAAATTAGGGTTTGCAACAGCAGAGGTTATATCAATCCTAGGGGTGCTGGTGTTTTGAAAAAAAAAAAGCCCATTTGTAAGTATGTTGGGTCCGAATGCGAGCTGCTGGATTCGAACCCGGGATCTTAACTTTACATTGATGAGCGCCGTGTCAAAGCCTAAACCGTTGCTGCCACCGATTCCCCTCACTTATTAATATTCTGAATACATGACCATAAAAGAAAATTATTTTGTATAAACAACTTGTTAAGTTTATAGTGCTGGAAAAAAAGCAAAATTTATTAGATTAAATTATTTATTGATAAAAACCTGATAAAAATTGTTTTGAAAATGTATAAAGTTTATACTGTCAGGGGCATCAGTGGCAAAAACAGTTAAGGGGCTGGAAGTGGCGCTCATCACTGTAAAGTATGTGGTCCTGGGTTCGAATGGTGAGCTGGTGAATTTGAACTCAGGACCAATATTCTTACAAATCAGCTTTCTTTTTATTTTTTCTTAAAAAACACCTGCACCCGGAGGGTTCATATGACCTCGCAAAAAAAGTTTATACTGTAAATGTGATAGCCTTTGTTGCAGGTGTCTGTGACCGGGATGAAGATGGTTTCCTCCCCAATGGCCAACGAGTTGATCAGGCCTAAACAGGTCCAGGCTCCAGTTTACGATCCAAGAAATGACTTGTTAAAAGCCATAAGAGATGGTGAGCCGTTGCATTCCTATAAATCGTGCTCTTTCTCAGTGAAAAACTTTTTACAGGCATCAAACTAAGAAAAGTCGAAAAGATCGAGCAAAAGGAAGGAGAGAGAGTGAACGCGTTGCACGACGTCGCTTCCATACTCGCACGACGGGTTGCGGTGGAATTCTCAGATTCGGATTCAGGCTCTGAGAGTGAATACGACAGCGAAGGTTGGGTCGAGAACGAACAAGGGTCTTCTTCTGTCGCATAATTCATCTGTCTAAAGATTGAATAACAAAGTTGACAAAAGAAGGTAAACTATATTATCGTGCCATCGCAAATATTCAATGCAATTTAGGCAAGTTGTAAAAAAAAGACAATTTCTTATATAATTCTAAAAAAATTTGCCAAACACTTTGAAAATACTCAAGTAAACAAATGTAATGTTCTTCCAATTATTGTCAAAATGATTATTTTTGAGAAGATTTTTATGGAGTGTTGTTTGATAGAGATTGGGTTCTTTTCCATGAAAAGGTTCTTGCTCAGATTCAAATCAGCCTAGTGTGAATTTTTTTTATTCTTTTTAATTTTGTCTGAGTTACCAAAAGTACATCGAAGAAAAAAAATAGTTTGAAGGTTTGATGTTTTTGATGTTTGGCTCATATCAAGCCTTGAACCAAAATAGATTCATTTTTCAATTATTCCAACCTAATTACTACTTTAATAATGCTACAAAAATAAGCCTTTGGATTCTTTCATTTATTTAAACAGGATAACAATGGAAATTTGGAAAATGATATCGGACATTTTTTTCCATTGTGTTTTTATTAGCGAAATAATGTTTTAAAATTTACAACTCGTTCTATTTGTCCGTTTTCAATAATATAATTTCATTGCTTAACCTTGCATCATGTTGATATTATATATTTTTTGTACCTTAATTATTTATATGTATAAAAAACAAATATGTCTGTGTTAATTTGTCATATTTATTTTAAGCAGGTATAAGTTATTAGTAAACAAACTTAGCTTTAATCATACATTATATATTTTGATATGTCTAAATATGCAGGCTCTATTTAACTTATTGTTGGCCCGTACAAAAATGTTTAATAAAGTTTAAAAAAATCACACATTTATCTAAATATTGTATTTACACAATTTATTTTCTCCTTGAAAGATTCATTAGCATTTTGTAACAAATTATTTATCCGCCTTTAGAGCTGTGTATTTAACTTTTCCAGAAGTAAAAGTTGATTTTTTTGTTCTATTTTTTAAAGTTTCTAGTCATATCAAAGTACAGCGGTTTCGTCCAAAAACAGAACCAAATCATAGAACCAGACTAAAAATCATTTTCTTTATTACAATATTGTCGATTTACTTCTGGAAATTCTATTTTACACTCTTGTGCTGTCAGAAAAATTTCCAAATTCATAACTCTATCTCCTTTTAAATTTGATCAGGTATGATATAAAAAAAAAGCTAATGAACAGTACACATTACAAAATAATTACATACTGAAAAATTATATAAAATTATTACTTATTTAGATATTCAATTAATATTGTATTATTAATATTTACATAAGAACCAAAGCTTCAATATTGAATGTAATGTTATTATTAGTTATTTTATAAACGATTTATAATTTGTAAATATATACATATAAATACAACATAAATATATACACATATGTTGTATATATTTAAAAAATTAGGTAAAATAAAATGGAGTATAATAATTACCACATGACATGGTGTATATAAAATGTAAATAAAAAAACACTCATTTGTTAACCGGTATTTCTTTAACTAACACAACTAATTTAGTTTGGGGTGCCAACATATATAAACTATTTCCTCCGTCAGTACATCAAATAAAAGCATAAGCTGTGTCAATCGTATCGAGAAAAATAGAGAACGCATAAATTAATTTCGATATCAAATTTAAAAATGTAACTGAATTTTAATTTAATAAGAATGTCATTCCACTGTAGTAATTTATTTAAGACATACATGAGGGCTGTTGATTATTTTTGTATGCATTTAAAAAAAATTGAATTATGTTAAGTACTTTAGTCTTGCGATTTTATTGTTACAAGTAATGGAAGCAAATAATTGTGTGTAAGCTTTTGTAAAATCAGATGTATTAAATGAAAATATTCTTATGTTCTTTGTTTTTATTTTTTTTCTTTCAAGAAGGGGGGTCTCTGGTTTTAATTTGTTCTTTTTATTGCATTCAATTCTATTGTAATGAATGGGTGAAAGAAATGGAAATATTAAATCATAATTAATAAATGGGAATTTTTATTATCACCTTATTAAAAATTTGCTTTTGTGCTAGTTGTTGTGTTTTAATTGATAAAGAGAAATATTTCCTTTCCTCTCAGCAGACCAGCATATTTAAGTTAATGATTGATATAATGTGTGGTGATTAGTGACGGTTAATCGATATTTATTTAGAAATCGTGAGATGCGGTCTGGTGTGATGTAGGTTTCAGAAAAAACATTTTCTTTATCGTGCCAACGTTTCGATCTTTTATTGAGATCATCTTCAGGGCTCAAAGTGTTTGTCTTCTGTGTAATTGTGCCATTCTTGCGTGTCGTGTCGAGAGTGCCACAATTACACAGAAGACAAACACTGAGCCCTGAAGATGATCGAAGATAAAGATCGAAATGTTGGCACGATAAAGAAAATGTTTTTCTGAAACCTACATCACACCAGACCGTATCTCATAATTTCTAAATAAAGATTGCTATAATGTTGATATGACAATATTAAAGTGTGCACAGGGGACCAGGGTAGCAGAGGGATTAAGGCTTCAGACTCTCGGGTAGTAGATCCTGTGGTTGTGGGTTCTAGATTTTTTTTATATGTTAGGTTAATTCTCCGTTGAGCTGTTGCATCGCATTCGAAGATGATATGGTTGGCTGTTTCCTCCTCCTCATTACATAATCTGCAAATGGGATTGTATATGCCCAGTTGTGTAGATGTTTTCTCAAATGCCAGGGATTGGTTAGTAGTCCAATCACTCCTCTGAGTTTAGCCCTTTCCAATTGCAGCAATGTTTTTGCCAGTCTTGGTGAGGGTTGTTTCATCATAAGTTTACTATGTCTAGACCGCTAGAGTATCCACTTCACCTTTTGTTTGGTTTGGATACATTCTGCGATGGAGGATTCTATATTTGTTTTTGTTATTCTAAGTGTAGTGTATTGATATACCTAGTGTTCGGGCGCGTCTCCGTCATTGAAACGCCCGATTTGCGACGTACTTCGTACCCCTCTATCTACAACCCTTATCTTCTGGAAATCCACCAATTATAATACACTTCCCTCCTTTTTCCTCAAAAATCCATCCCTTCCAGCCCTCTCGGGCTCTCTTCTCCACCAGCTCTCGGAGCGAGCACACGTCCTATCGCCCTATCTCGCCAAAGTGTTGCGCCATAGTAATTCAACTCCGTATAAGATTGGCGCTTCTTAAAGTTTTCATCGCCATGCGAATCCCCACAGATTTCCCTTCAAATCGCCATATGATCTTCACCTCTGTGTGTGTTCCAACTCACGACCGCATGATCCACAAACCTATCATCGCCATTTTCCCTTAATATATCTTCTTCCATCTATCATCATTATAATCCCGTGAACGAATCATCCTTTCATTATCCCCCGAAGACTCCATCATCTCACTGGTTACTACCTGGACTGCCTCATCTCATTCTCATCGCCACTGGATTGCATCATCCATCATCATCATTAACTACGCTGCAGGAACTAGGTTGGTATACCGGTCTAATCATCGCCAAACAACGCACGATATCGCATTCAGGAGACATTCATCGCTTTCCGGTCTTCATCGCCTTTAGACCGTCATCGCTTTCAGATCTCCAATACGATCAGCCATCTTGTAAGCCATAGAAATTTCATTAAACAGTGAGTCTTCAACTACTTTCGTTCATTATTTATTCCTTAATTTAACCATTCCTAAACTAACATCCACTTTTTAAATCGGGAATGTTCCATTACTGTTGGTGCCGAAACAATCTTCTTATGAACTTCAACTTCTCTCTCCGGCGGTGTTCGTCGGGGCCATTTTGAATTTTGGCTGCTGGCGAACACCTAGCGCTATTGGTTGCCCACAGAACAACTTCACCCCATGACCCATCGCACCCCTCAGTATATGCTAGCACAAGCAGTTCACCATAGTTGATGGTACACCAAACCAAAAAACAAAGTACATTGTGAACATTGAGGAACATTGCAGCTTTGATGTGAACTATAAGATATATAGGCTGTTAGGAAGAGACGCATATTAGAATAGAGGAGTGAGTGAAGAGCAATTGAATACCTCAAAAAAAGTTATCTAGGTATGGTAATAAGGATACTAGGAAGCAGGGTTTGTGCTCTCCAGGCACTGCAGCCTTCTGGCTTATAGTTCCTAGTTCCTTAGGTCAGTGCATAGACTAAATCTTTTTTTTTAAGTATCAGGACATTGACTGTTGCTGCTACAATTTCATTCCCCAGATTTTTTCGTATGTTAGGTTAAATCTCCATTGAGCTGTTGCGTTGCATTTGAAGATGATATGGGTGGCTGTTTCCTCCTCCTCATTACATAATGTGCAAATGGGGTCATCGTTGTATATATCCATGTTGTGTAGATGTTTTCTCAGATGGCAGTGACCGGTTAGTTGTCCTACCACTCCTCTGAGTTAAGCCCTCTCCAATTGCAGCAGCGATATTGTCAATCTTGTTGCGGCATAGGTTTACTGTGTCTAGCGCCACTAGAGTTTATCCACTACTCCTTTTGTTTTGTTTGGATCCATTGTGCAATGGAGGATTCTATATTTGTTTTTGTTATTCCAAAACATTCGGGGCCTATGTATGGTCTTGGTGGTATCCATGGTAGCCTAGTGGTTAAGGCGTCAGACTCTCGGCTAGTAGATCCTGCGTCCATGGGTTCGATCCCCACCGTCGCCTCTGGACTTTTTCTGACGCCTGAGAGGACCTGAGGCCGCAATTGAAAGAAATTGACACGGTACACATCAATGGAAGGGGTGGGAACGATTTTCAGCGGCCCTGAATTCAAAAATGAGTTTCTTCTATGGAAGAGCATCGGCACAACAGGGGCTCAAGCTCACATTTGTGTTGCGAGCTCCACCCCCTCAAAAAAAAAAAAAAAAAAAAGGCCAGGGATAAAGTACAATAAGCTATACAGCTCAGCTGCAGTGCTCAGGAGGGAACTCCTCCAGTCCCTGGTATCTATTAAAAAAAAAGTCTTGCAGATCCTCCTCTGGCCAGAGCGTATGCTTTCTTGTTACCCAAAATTCCTCTGTGCCCTGGCCCCAAGACATCAGGTGGTTTTGTTTCCCCAGATTTTGGATGCATTCACTGACTAATTTTGATGGGATTTTTTTACATGGTAATGCTTTAATGGCTGCTTGGCTATCACATCTTATGAGGTTTGTTTTTGCCAATGTAACCTCTTTTATGAATTTCCAGGCACAAGCGTTGATGGCATGTTTTTCCGCTTGAGAGGCTGGAGTGTTCTTTCCTAAGGAGTTAAGGTATCTAAGTACTCTGAACACATTGAATCCGTTTGAGCCGGATTTTAAATAGATAAAACATAAGATCAACGTGGAGAGCGAAGCGTCGAATGAAAATGAAAGGCGGGCGGTTAATTTGAAATGTGGCGGATGAGAGGGATGGCGCGCGGCGGCGAACCGGAAGCGGAACTCATCCGCTGCAGAGGAGGTAATGCGGTGTTACAGAGCTGGACTTTTTCACCACTGCTGAGTGCTGGCGATGGTGCCTCCTGGCAGAGCAGAAAGGCTCATCCGCCGATGCTCCTCCAAATGATGCGCCCTCAAATTCCATCCGCTCGTTTCATGGCTAAAGTCCGTTCACTCGTCTTCAAACCCTCCCCAAGAATCGAGAAGGAGTAAACATGGGTGGGTAACAAACCGTATTTGCCTGGGTTTCTCGTTTTCACATTCAAACACGACTATCGCCCCTTGCTCTTTTACCAAAAGTCGTTAGCTTTTAGTTTTATTTTATTGTTAATTTTTTTTTTAGATTTTACACGTTTCGCATTTTCTGCTTGGTAGAATTTTTACAAAAATCCTATTTATCAAAACAATACAATTTTATTTTGTGTGACCGTTGTACCTCCTGCACCTTAGTTCTGGCTTAAATAGTTTTAATATCACATTTCGCTCCTAGTTTTAAATTTATGCAGTTTTTTTATGCAACAACTTATAAAATATTCATGACTGCATTATCATGATTATAGCACAAATTGTACCTTACTTCACTCTTATTTTACAGTCAAATTACATGTTGACTGCATTTGTGTTATGTTCTATGTGAAATTTTACTTTTCAATACCTAATAAATTTTTTAAAGCAGTTTTTATATATCTGCACCCTCGGGACAAAACTCGATAAGTTAACCAAGTTAAGTTTATATTATTATAAGTTTGTATCATCACCAGCCCTCAGAATGTTTTCTTTCTTTTTCTGGTCTTTTATGCGTATTTTATTTTAAACTGATGCCATTTGAGCGTCTCGATCTGGTTAGATGTAGATATAGTTTCGGGGTATAGTATACTGCGCCCTTTGAGAGCTATTTTATCCCCCTTGCTCTGCCTAAAACACATCGGTGAGTCCTATTTCATCAAGAAACTTGATTAATATGCCCGGTTTCAATGGTTGAAGCCCTTCTATGGTCACATTGTACATCCCAAAGCACTTCCTCCTGCGGGCAAGTGTAGCCCTGCAGTTTGTTAGTAGGTGTGTTGGTGTCTCCTCTGCCTCTTTGCACCATCTGCTTGTTCCGTCTTGGATTATTCCAATCTTCTTTAAGTGTCCATTTAGCTTGCAATGTCCTGTTAAGAATCCTATTAGGATTTGCAGTTTATTCCTACTTCCTTTGACACATTCTGTAATTTCTTTTCTTCCGAAATTTGTTAGGAGATTCTTGGATTGCCTGTGTCGAATGAGTGAATTTCATTGTTCCTTCATTTTCTTTTTATCCTCCTGTCTGAGATACTCATTGATAGTGTGGGTTCCTATGCCACAGAAGTGCTCAGGTCCTATCAGCTGTGTAGCTGACTTTCCTCGCAAGGGTGTCCGCTTTCTCATTGCCTTCTACTCCCAGGTGTCCTAGAACCCAGCAGA